AACCCAGAAAAACAAATAAGCAAAAATATTTTGCCCCTTAACTTGTACTTAACTTGCCAGCTCTCAGTCTTCTTTAGTAGCCATACTCTTGATCAGTGTAAGTCCTTTTCATCTGACCTTTTACTACATGAAGATGTCAAACACACGTTTAGCTAAATAATTTTTTCTCCACGCTAGACATCTCACGTCCAGCCCACATTATTTATATGGCATGGTTTCAAATGTCTGAATACTCTGAGACTGTCCCCACCCAAACTCCAGCTTGTCTATATCTCTTTAAAATCCTTGCAACTAGCTGTCTGAGAAAAAAAAAACACTAACAACAAATTAACAGACTCCCCTGGGTGTTGCCTGGCTCACAGAAGAAGGGCTAGAAGTCTCAATGCTTGAACTTTGGGCACTGTACTCCCATTAATATACCCTACAGTCTCTATTCAAGATGAGTGTACCACAGACCACATTTATCTCAACTGGAAACAAGCCACGGAGGGGGGGCATGGGGGCATGGAAGGCAACTCTTTCAATGAGTAATTTCACCATAATTCACATTATTTCATTGTTTTCAAGAGAGCCTCCAGGTTTTGAAAGTTGTTTGAAGGCTAGGTGTGGTGGCTCACACCTATAATCCCAGCATTCTGGGAGGCCAAGGTGAGAGGATTGCCTGAGCCACACATGTTCAAGAATAGCCCGGGTAACTTGGAGAGACCTCAGCCCTACAGTAAATCAAAAAATTAGCCAGGCATGGTAGTGCGCACCTACAGTTCTGGCTACTTGAAAGGCTGAGGCGAAAGAAAAAAAAAAAAAGAAAGTTGTTTTATCTCCTTTACTCTATTTACTAAATAATAACTGATCGATTTTCCTGTTCTATTCATTAAAAACCCAGGCATCTCTAGGCAACAGAATAAACCAATGTACCTCAATGAGCTGCCTGAACTCTATCCAAAAGCAAACATGCAGCTTTTAGTAAGCCTGGGTAGTCTTTTTTTTTTTTTAAGTTGGAGTCTCACTCTGTTGCCCAGGCCGGAGTGTACCTGCTGGGCTCCGGCGATTCTTCTGCCCCAGCCTTCCAAGTAGGCGGAACTATAGGCGTGCACTACTACACCCAGCCAATTTTCGATTTTTTGTAGCGACGAGGTCATGGCAAGTTACCCAGGCTGGTCTAGAACCCGCGGGCTCAGGCAATCCATTCACCTTGGCCTCCCCGAGTGCTGGGATTACAGACTGAGCCACGGAGCCTGGCCTGGGTACTCTTTTATCCAGTAAAGGCACAACTGCCTTTGGGCTTTCTGAAATACTAAAAATAGCTTTGCATCCCCATTATTAACTCCGAAAAATCCTCTAGGGACTCTCTGGCCTCAAGACCTAATTGCCTTTCCACGGAATGGCTGTTGTTCTTAGAAGTAATGAAAGAAACCAAGCACTAAGATAGTGATGCTCAACAGCGACACCACAGGGCAGATGACTTAAATAGCAGGCTTCTGTTATCTTTTATTCCTGTGCAAAAAAGTTCCATCTTTGGAAGTTATTGACAAGCCCAGGTTGAAAAGTCTTTTTTCTTTTCCTCTTCTTAAAAATTGGTTATTTTTTAAAATGCAACTCAATTAACATCTGAGAATTAGTCTCTTCAACGTCTCTTCTCCCTCCTCCTCCCGCCAAGAATATCAGATTTTTTGTCATCAGCTTCTTCCATTTCTGTAGGGACAGAAGTCTACAAACTTACTAGTGACCGAAGCGGCAGTGCAGGGCGGCGAGGTTCAGAGCAGCGTATCTCAAGCTCCGGCCATAGCCTTCTTCCCCATTACTTTTGCTTTCGGCTCCAGTAAGAATCAGGCGGTCAAAATAGTGAAGGAGACTGTGTGTTGAACTAAACACATCTTGGACACGAAGGTTGTTTAAGTAGCTGAGATAATGCTAAAACAAGAAATAATCAGCATATTTTAAATGTTCTACTACCTCTTGTGCAAACTACTGCAGAGAGTTCTGCTGGCTGCAAACACTCATGTATCCCCTACACTTCTAACAAGACCATCATAGTTTAGCCTAATCTTTTTCCTACAGGGAAAATAAAACAGGTTAAAGATACATTAGTTCACCTCAGAGGGAGTCCACAAATGAACAAACGCAATTCTGTTAGAATTTGTGTTGATCTTATCCTAAATATACTCCACTATGTCACTGGTTACATTAGGATCCATGGGTGATAGATGAGGGTAGCAGGTTTCACATAGTCCAGGTATTAAGGAACACCAAGAGTTCAAAATTATTAAAGATTTTGGCCAGGTGCAGTGACCCAGGCCTGCAATCCCAACACTTTGAGAGGCAGAGGCGAGAGAATTGCCTGAGCCCAGGGGTCAAGACCAGCCTGGGCAACTGTTAATTGTCTCCATTTTTTTCTGAATCACTGAATTAAATTTCCCTCTTAATAGGCAGATCCAAGTTCCTAAAAAGGAAAACAGATTATTTCTACATAAGGATAAAGTCAGATTTGAAATTCAAATACTGTTAAGAAAACTTTCAGAGTAAAAAATCCAATAAAGAATAGAATTACTGAAACTTTAAAAACAAATCATGTCTGAGCCCCTGGGTTCGAGTCCCACCTGGGCAACTTGGCGAGACCTCATCTCTATAATAAATCAAAAATTAGCCGGGCATGGTAGCACACACCTGTAGTTCCAGCTACTTGGAAGGCTGAGGTGGAAGGAGCGCTGGAGCCCAGCAGGTTGAGGCTGCAGCGGCCAGGAGTGGCCACTGCACTCCAGTCTGGGTGACAGTGTGAGACTCCAACTCAAAAAAAAAAAAAGCCAGGCTCGGTGACTCAGCCTGTAATCCCGCGTCTTTGGGAGGCTGAGGTGAGCGGACTACCTGGGCCCGTGGGTTCGAGACCTGCCTGGGCAGCGAGACCTCATCTCTACAATAAATCAAAAAAATCAGCCAGGCGTGGCAGTGCATGCCTGTAATTCCGGCTACTTGGAAGGCTGAGGCGGAAGGATCGCCGGAGCCCAGCAAGTCGAGGCTGCGGTGGCCGGGATCGGCCACTGCACTCCAGTCTGGGTGATAGAGTGAGACTCCAACTCAAAAAAAAAAATTGGGGTCGGGGTCACTGAGGCAAACAAACAAACAAACAAAAATCGACAATGACAAAAGAGAAAGAAAGAGAGTTTTTCAGCCCCAAACCTTATGTTTGGATCAGTCTGCTCCATCATCTCTACTCCAAAATTCACAATATCAGGGAGATAATAAATAAAAGAGAACATCAATAGATTGAAAAACTTCCCCACAGCCCAGGGACAGTAGGGGGAGCTTTGCAACCTGTGCTGAGTTGCTTACTAGTCAACATTATTTCCTTCAAGAACCTGGACCAAGGGGCTGATCTTTATTTGCATGGCTATAAAGAGTAGTCTTGTCATTCCTCTTCTTTTTTTTTTTGAGTCGGAGTCTCACTGTTGCCCAGGTTGGAGTGCAGTGGCATGCTCATGGCCACCACAGCCTTGACCTGCTGGGCTCTGGCAATCCTTCTGTCTCAGTCTCCCAAGCAGCTGGAACCACAGGCGGGTGTCATTACACCCAGCTAATTTTTTGATTTATAGTAGAGACAAGGTCTCATCAAGTTCCCCAGACTGGTGTCGAACCCACGGGCTCAGGTAATCCTTTCGCCACTGCCTCCCAAAGTGCTGGAATTACAGGTGTGAGCCACCGTGCTTGACTATCATTCCTTTTCAACTCAGCAACAGATTCAGGGGAAGACTCACCGCTTCAGCAAAATCAGGATTAAATTTCAGTAAGTTGTTCAATTCTTTCTGCAAGGAAGCTGGAGTGAGGGCTTTGGTCTCATCATTCTTTAACAAAGAAGCCTGGAATTTAAAAACGACAGCTCAGTAGAAAGAAATGCTCAGTCAACATATGGAAATATATACTAACGAGAGTCACCTGATTATTTTTTTTTTTACAGAGGTCCCTTTGGGCTCTGGCTCCTTATCTCACCAGCCTTAGGGGGCTGCCCGTCACTCTAAATACAACGAATGTGGAACCCACCGCACACTCCTCTTGACCACACTCAATGTATTTCCTCTTCCTGAAACACCAAGTCTCCCAACCATCACTCCTCATAAGCATACTCCTCCCAGGACTAGCAGACCTATGCCCATGCCTAGGTCATCCTTCAGGTCCCAGTTTGGCCTCCAGCCACCTGAGGCTTCTACCTTTTAGACTCAGTGAGATCCTACAAGCCCCTACGTGCTCCCATAAGCCCTCTGTACTTACTCTTCCTGTAGTACTATCAAACTACAGTAAAACTGCCAACTGCCAGTCTGACCCCACCCCAGACTGTAAGCTCCTTCCAGGAGGGTAATGTGTTTACATATCTTTGTATCTCCAGTGCCAGCAAAGGGCTTTATGGCATCCAGGTGTCATGACCCACCCCTGGTTATTTGTTTCATATGATATCAGCAATGATGATATGAAATATGTAGGAAATAGTTCCAAATTAAATGTTTATATTTAACAGGGTTATGGACACTTTACTCCAATTTTACCTAGACAAGTCTTTCTATAAGTAATAATTTCTAATTCCATTTTTATTTTTGAGTTGGAGTCTCACTCTGTCACCCACGCTGGAGTGTAGTGGCACCCTCACAGCCACCGCAGCCTCAACCTGCTGGGTTCAGGCGATCCTTCCTCCTCAGCCTTCCAAGTAGTTGGAACTATAGGAATGCGCTATCATGCCCAGCTAAGTTTTTGATTTATTGTAGAGATGAGGTCTCCCCAAGTTGCCCAGGCTAGTCTAGAACCCATGGACTCAGGCAATTCTCTCGCCTCAGCCTCCCAAAGTTCTGGGATTATAGCCGTGAGCCACCCAGCCTTAATTCCATTTTTAATTAACTAATTTTTGTTTTTTTTGAGTCAGAGTCTCACACTTTTGCCCAGGCTGGAGAGCAGTGGCATGATCACAACTCACCGCAGCCTCAGACAACTGGACTAAAGTGATCTTCCCCTCTGCCTCCCAAGTAGCTGAAACCACAGGCACGTGCCACCACACCCAACTAATATTTTTTATTTTTTGTACAGATGAGGTCTCACTGTGTTGGCCAGGATCTACTTTTATTATATTACCAAAAATTCCAAAAATACAGAAAAATTACATAAGAAAACAAAATCACCTTAAGTGTATTTTATCCTAGTCTTTTTCCTGTGTGATTATAAATGTCTGTGTATATGTGTGTATATGTATATATATATATATATACATATATGTATATATATACTCAAACACACATATATATAAATACACATTATACTTTTAACAAAATTAGAATATATGAAATTTTACTTCCTATTCTTTTCATTTAGTAATATATTAAATGCCAGGTGTAAAGCCAGGTTTGGTGGCTGAGCCTGTAATCCCGTGCCTTTGGGATTAGCCGGGCGTGGTAGCGCGCGCCTGTAGTTCCAGCTCCTTGGAAGGCTGCGGTGGCCGGGAGCAGCCACTGCATTCCAGTCTGGGCGACAGAGTGAGAGTCCAACTCAAAAAAAACAAACAAACAAAAAAAAACAACAACAAAAACATAAATGCCAGGTGTAGTGGTTCACACCTGTAATCCCAGCACTTTGGGAGGCGGAGGCAAGAGGACTGCCTGAGCTCACGGGTTCAAGACCAGCCTGGGCAACTTAGAGAGACCTCATCTCCACAATAAATTAAAAAATTAGCCAGGTGTGGTGGCACTCGCCTGTAGTTCCAGCTACTTGGAAGGCTGAGGTGGAAGGATCACCTGAGCCCAGCAGGTCAAGGCTGCAGTGGCTATAAGCATGCCACTGCACTCCAGCCTGGGAGACAGAGTGAGACTCCGACTCCAAAAAAATATTAATAATAATAATATATTATAAACTTTGCTTAATCAGATAATCTTTATAAATGATTTCTATCCTATTTATTATAAATACTTTTTTACGCCGGGTTTGGTGGCTCAGTCTGTAATCCCGCGCCTTTGGGAGGCTGAGGTGAGTGGACTGCCTGAGCCCACGGGTTCGAGACCCACCTGGGCAACTTGGCGAGACCTCATCACTGCAATTAATCAAAAATCAGCTGGGCGTGGTAGCGTGCACCTGGAATTCCAGTTACTTGGAAGGCTGAGGCGGAAAGATCGCCAGAGCCCAGTGGGTCAAGGCTGCGGTGGCCAGGAGCGGCCACTGCACTCCAGTCTGGGCGATGGAGTAAGACTTTAACTCAAAAAAATAAAAATAAATAAATAAATAAATAAATACTTTTTAACATTTTTTTGTTTGCCTTTGCCTTTTAATTTTGTTAGAATGTGTTCAGACACACACCATTTTCAATGTTTATACTGAAAAATCAGATTATCTTCTCCATATTTTCTTCCACAGCTTTTTTTTTTTTTGAGTTGGAGTCTCACTCTGTCAGGATAGAGTGAGGTGGTAAGCTCACAGTCACTGTAGTCTTGATCTGTTGGGCTCAGGGAATCCTTCTATCTCAGCCTTCCAAGTAACTGGAACCACAGGCATGTGCTACCACGCATGGCAATTTTTTTTTTTTTTGAGATGGCGTCTCACTGTCACCCAGGCTGGAGTACAGCAGCACACTCATGGCCACCCCAGTGTCGAACCGCTGGACTCCAGTGATCCTTCTGCCTCAGCCTTTCAAGTAGCCGGAACTACAGGCACACGCTACCACGCCCAGCTAATTTTTGATTTATTGTAGAGACGAGGTCTCAACAAGTTGTCCAGGCTGGTCTCGAACCCATGGGCTCAGGCAATCCACTCACTTGGCCTCCCAAAGTGCTGGGATTACAGGCTATAACTTTTCTTTTTTTTAATTGTAGAGATGAGGTCTTGTCAAGTTGCCCAGGCTGATCTTGAACTCATGGGCTCAAGCAATCCTCTCACCTTGGCATCCCAAAGAACTAGGATTATAGGCATGAGCCACAGCACCCAGCTTCCATAACTTTAATTATTATTATTATTTTTATTTTTTTGAGTTGAAGTCTCACTCTGTCACCCAGACTGGAGTGCAGTGGCTGCTCCTGGCCACGCAGCCTTGACCTGCTGGGCTCCGGCGATCCTTCCACCTCAGCGTTCCAAGTAGCCAGAATTACAGGCATGCGCTACCACGCCCAGCTGATTTTTTGATTTATTGTAGAGATGAGGTCTCGCTGCCCAGGCGGGTCTCGAACCTGCGGGCTCAGGCAATCCACTCACCTCAGCCTCCCAAAGCATGGGATTACAGGCTGAGCCACTGAGCCTGGCTTCCACAACTTTTATATTGATAAAGTCTTTCCCCATCCAAAGATCAGCTAAAACTTAACATATATTTCCTTCTAGTCTAATTATAGCTTTACATATCTACATTGAACCCTTTAATCCATCTGTAATTTACTGAGGTAAGAGGGTGAGATGAGGATCCAGTTGTACTTTTGTCTCTATAGCTAGTCTATGATGTAGGTTTCCTAATATGTTTGAAATTCATCTGCAGAGGTGATCCCATCACTTTTATTTAGACCTAAATTAAAACCTTCTGCAAAAAGAAAAGTAATACTAAAATCAGAAAAAACTAGACAAACAGAGCAAAAATTTTAAAAATTCTATGCTGAAAATAACATAGCAGAAAAATGTTCAGCTTAAGTTATCAAATAAATGAAAAAATAGGGCTTGAAAAGCAGCAACTTATTTGCACCAAAGTATACTGACGTCTGCTACTTGAAATACATCAAAAATAAGATGGGGCGTGTGGCGGCTCATGCCTGTAATCCCAGCACTTTTGGGACGCCAAGGCAAGAGGCCAGGAGTTCAAGACTAGGCTGGGCAGTGTAGTAAAACCTCACCTCTACAACAAATAAAAAAAATAGCTGGGCATGGTGGCACGCGCCTGTAGTCCTAGCTACTCAGGAAGCAGAGGTGGAAGGATCGCCCGAACCCAGGAAGTTGAGGATGTGGTGAGCTGTGATGGTGCCAGTGTACTCCAGCCTAGGCAACAGAGTGAGACTAAAATAAGATAAAATAAATAAAGTGAAATAAAATGGTGGCTAAATAGAGACTGGGTAGATATGTGATGAATGGAACAAAAATATTATAGAATTTAGGTGATGGAATATGGATAATCACTGTGCAATGTTTTTCAAGTTTTCTTTATACTTGAAAATGTCCATAATAAGACATTAGGAAAAGGAAAGCAAGTCTTCTAAATCACATGTTTTTGGGCTGGTAGTCACATACCATTATTAAATGAATCTGCACTGCAACCTTAATAGAAAAATAAAATCACACACCAAATAGGAAAGGACACATATCCACAACCGCACTGTGAGAGAAGAGAGGACCACAAGTGAGAGCCAATGCAGAGTCACTAATCGACCTCTGAACACAACAGGCAGATACCAAGATGTATGACACAGGATATGCCATAAAGTTCATAATAAATTACAGAATGAACATACCTGCTGAGAAAGAAAAAACTCTGCTTGTTTTTGGGACAGAGGCCCACTGCAAGATACCTCCTCTTCTCTGGGAAAAACAAAAATAAAAATAGCAAAGAATTACACATAAGTGAAAGCAGTAACATTTACAAAATCAAATAAAATTAGTATCAGAAAAGTTTAAAAACCTTAACTCTCTCTTCCTTGAAATCTAAAATATATACCTAAAAAGTAATGCTGAGACCCAAGGCAGAGAGCCCAGAAAGAGACCCTTGAGATACAGTCAAATGATTTTTGATAAGGATGTTAAGGTCATTCATTGGGAAAAGGACAGTTTTTTCAACAAACAGTAATGGAAAAAGCGAATACCCACATGCAAAAGAATGAAGTTGGACCCTAATCTAATACCATACAAAAAAATCAAAAGGGATCAAAGACTTAAATGTAAGACCTGAAGCTATAAAACTCTTAGAAGAAAACATACAGTAAAAGCGTCACAAAGTCGGATTTGGCAAGAATTTCTTTCTTTCTATTTATTCATATTTTTTATTTTTGAGTTGGAATCTCACTTTGTACCCAGATTGGAGTACAGTGGCCGCTCCCGGCCACTGCAGCTTCGACCTGCTAGGCTCCAGCAATCCTTCCGCCTCAGCCTTCCAAGTAGCTGCAACTACAGGCGCGCGCTACCATGGCCGGCTAATTTTTGATTTATTGTGGAGATGAGGTCTCGCCAAGTTGCCCAGGCAGGTCTCGAACCCGCGGGCTCAGGCAATTCACTCACCTTGGCCTCCCAAAGCATGGGATTACAGGCTGAGGCACCAAGCCCTGCCTTTCTTTTTATTTTATTTTATTTTTTTTAGTTGAAGTCTCACTCTGTCATAAACGCTGGAGTGCAATGGAATATTCACGGCCGCCGCAGGCTCGACCTGGTGGACTTAGGTGATCCTTCCGCCTCAGCCTTCCAAGTAGCTGGAACTACAGATGCGTGCTACCATGCCCGGCTTAATTTTTTATTTACTGTACAGATAAGGTCTCACCAAGTTGCCCAGGCTGGTCTCCAACCCCCAGGCTCAGGCAATCCACTCACCTCAGCCTCCCAAAGGCGGGGGATTACAGGCTGAGCCACCGAGCCTAGCTAAAATTTTCTTAATAGAGGTGGAGTGTTGTTGTTGCCCAGACTGGTCTCAAGCTCCTGGGCTCAAGCGATCCTCCCACCTCAGCCTCCCAAGATGCTAGGATTACAGGCATGAGCCACATCTGGCTAGCAGCGATTTCTTGGTTATGACACCCAAGGCACAGGCAAAACAACAACAAATAGAAAAACAACTTCATAAAAACTTAAAAACCCATGCATCAAAACATAACATAAACAGAGTATAAAGGCAACCCATGAAATAAGGGCTGAAATAAGAGAAAATATGTATAAATTACATATCTGATAAGGGATTAATATCCAGAATGAAGGGAGAACTCCTAAAACTCCAAGAGAGGGAAAAAAAAAATTTTTTTTTTTTTTTGAGTTGGAGTCTCACTCTGTCGCCCAGACTGGAGTGCAGTGGCTGCTCCCGGCCACCATAGCCTCGACCTGCTGGACTCTGGCGATCCTTCCACCTCAGCCTTCCAAGTAACTGGAACTACAGGTGTGCACTACCACACCCGGCTAATTTTTAATTTATGGTAGAGATGAGGTCTTGTCAAGTTGCCCAGGCGGGTCTCGAACCCGCGGGCTCAGGCAATCCACTCACCTCAGCCTCCCAAAGGTGCGGGATTACAGGCTGAGCCACTGAGCCCGGCCTAAAAAAGCAATTTTAAAAATGGGCAGAGGTAGGCCAGCATGGTGGTTCATGCCTATAATCCTAAGCACTTGGAGGCTAAGGCTGGAGGACCACTTGAGGCCAGTAGTTTAAGACAGCCTGGGAAACCTAGCAAGACATCATCTCTACAAAAATCATTTTAATCTTTTGAGTTGGAGTCTCACTCTGTCACCTAGGCTGAAGGGCAGTGGCAGACTCCCCAGCCACTGAAGTCTTGACTTGTTGGGTTCAGGCGATTCTTCTATTTCAGACTTCCAAGAAGCTACAATTAAGCATGCGCCATCATGCCCAGCTAATTTTTTTACTTTTGTAGACGTGAGGTCTCACTATGTTGCCCAGACCAGTCTTGAATCCGTGGGCTCAAGCAATCCTCTGGCCTCCGCCTTCCAAAGTGCTGGGATTGCAGGCATGAGTCACCGAGCATGGCAAAAAAAATTTTTTCTAATAGACTAGACATTTCGTCAAAGAAAATATACTAATGACCAATAAGCACATGAAAAGATGCTCAACATCAATTATCATTAGGGAAATGCAAATCAAAACCACATCATTAGTATGGCTACTACCAAAAAAAAACCACCAAAAACCAGAAAAGTGCTAGTGAGGTTATCGAGAAACTGGAACTCTATGCATGTTGGTGAGAATGTAAAATGTTTGTTTTGTTTTGTTTTGTTTTTGAGGTGGAGTCTCACTCTGTCACCCAGACTGGAATGCAGTGGCCGCTCCCGGCCA